ATCTCAAACTTGGCAGTGATGAATTTGGTGGTAGAGCCAATGAGCTGCAGGGACTTCCTCATAACAACAGTTACAGACAGGTAATAATCTGTGATACTCACTGAAAGCCATGTAAAGCATGGATTAGCTCAAAATCTTCCCTCACACAGAGGGGGTGCAATTACACACGATTTCAAACCCTAGTAAGCAGGTTATGTAAGAAGGTATTTTAAGGCATCACAGGGTACACACACAGAATGAAGGCTGTTCTGAAAGTCATTAAATAATCATGCTTCCTTGTTTTGGCCAATTTGTAAGGCAGCATCCTTCAAGGTGGTATACCTGTTTCCTTCAAATCTCAAGAATGTAGTTCACTTCAGTGCCATCGCAGCTTCACTCACTAGGTATGTTTACATGCATTATTTTTGTCAATAGGAATGAATATATGAACTCAAAACATTGCAGCCTTTCACATATTCATTTACATGTGCAATACATGTTTTCTGAACAAAATCTCAATGCTTGCAAAATATCCAGTAACCACATTCAGAACCAGAGAAAGCCCTAGTGATGATGTATTCCGGGCTACAGTGAGTATAATTGTCATTTTTGCTTTAGGCTATATGTCCACTAGTGCGTTTTCTTTTGTTTTAACATGGCTTTTAAAATGAATACGGTCCTCGTCCTACTGGTATTTCCACTGAATTTCAGAAAAGACCAGCTGGTACAACAATGAGCATGATCCAGCATCTTATATAAAGGGTCCAGCGTCTTTAAAAAAAAAAAAGTGGGTGTGTGTGGAAGCTGTTGGGTGAGATTTCCTCTTCCTACCCCAGAAGTGTTTACTTAGAAATTGTATTTTGTTGATTGAACTTTAGTGATATTGTGTTAAAGGGGTCATATGATGCTGCTAAAAAGAACATTATTTGGTGTATTTGGTGTAATGAAATGTGTTTATGCGGTTTAAGGTTCAAAAAACACATTATTTTCCACATACTGTACATTATTGTTTCTCCTCTATGCCCCGCCTTTCTGAAACGAATTTTTACAAAGCTCATCGGTCTGAAAAGCGAGGTGTGCTCTGATTGGCCAGCTATCCAGTGCGCTGTGATTGGCCGAATTCCTCAAGCGTGTGACGGAAATGTTACGTCTCTTACCATATTGTGATGCCTGCGGCAACCACATGTGACGACCCCGGGCTGGACTCCGCTTCGTCCACGGTGAAAGCCGATTCGGCGATCCACAGAGCAAAGTTGAAATATTTCCTCAGCGACCAGCACGGATCAGCTCCAGGCATGACGAAGCAGATATCGTCCTCTTTTGGAAGACCAAACAAAGTAGTTTCGCTTTCACAACGAAGCACACAGTGCCTTCACGACATGGCGGCGGCGGCAACAATACTACAGCGAGAATAAAAGTTACGCCTTCTTTCTTTGCGAGAACATTTGGGCGGTGTTATGCAAATCTTCCCACATCGTGACGTAGACATGTGGGGGCGTGTTTAAACGAGCCGTTTTAGGTAGGCGTGGTTGACTCTTAACTTTTATAAAGAATATCTCTTTGGATTTGAGACTTTAGTCTTTGCAACTTTACAGATCTTTTTTATGCACCAAGAGCTTGTAACACTCCAAAGAGAAAGGAAAAATTTAAATCGCATCATATGACCCCTTTAATCCTTTTGTTGTTGTAACTGAAATCTCTACAACAAGGACAATGTTTGTACACCTTTTTGTTTCTAAATCTTTAATTAGTTTATATTGTTAATTTGCAAAGGGGTTAGTAGAGAGGGGGTCTCATTTTCTTTTTGATCTTATTTTCTCTTGTTTATGTTTGTAAGTGCGTTATTTTTGCTGTATTTTGTTTTCTTTTCTTTTGTAGTTTAGTTAGTTTCTCCCTTAACTAGTTAGGTTGTTTATTGTTTTGACCTGAGCCCCCTCTTTTTGAACCCTCTTACAATTTTTGTACATAAATGAGATTTGTTATATTTGTTTGTATAGAGTGTTTGTTGTTGCAGCATCCGTTGTGTGACCGCAGCTTAATACGTGAGTGTTTCTCAGTCGGAAGGCTGAAACCTACCGAGGCTGTGTGTTTCTTAGTCCTGGGCCCCGTATATGTGGATTACTCAGTTATTCAGATTTTACTGTTGACGATTTGTCATGATCCAGGATTGTTAGGTTCTCCAAAGCTCATAAGGACAAACCCACTAGAGAGCACGCTTATTAAGTGTAAACAGGATTAGAATGCATCTTTTTAAGCGGAGATGATACATGAAGTCTGTTCGAGCCACTGCTACTTTTAAAAAGACTACACTGTAAAAAAAATTTGACATTTACCGTAAAATACAGGCAGCTGTGGTTACCAGAACTTCACCGTAAAAAATATAGTTGCAACATTTTAGGTTTTACAGACTTAACTTAAATTCACTATAAATACGTATTTCATTAACTGATGTAATGTTAATAAACCAACATATTGAAGGACTAATATCTGTTTTGAACCATTGTAATGCACTGATAACCATCAAAAACAGGTGGTTATGAGAAAGTCACATGATGAATCAAAGCTCATCCCAAACAGCTTTAAACAAGTTGAGGAGGGCAATACTTATATATATATAGAAGGTGCACAGTGTCATTCACACAAACACTAAACACCATCACGGTGACGCACATGATACTGAAATAATGCAGTAAACATTAATTTAAATACATTAGATTTAAGATAAAACCCTGATGTACACAACTGATAAGAGAAGAAAACATAGTTAAAAAACTCATAAGCCAAGGCACTCTAAAATGTAGTGTAAAAAAATAAAAAGCCTTTATTCCCATGGCTTTACATTAAAAACAACTTTCAAGTGCTCGTTGCGGCTAACAAGCCTTCATCAGGGTGTCAAACTACAAACACACTCAAAATCCATTTAAACAATCAGTTCATCACATGACAGTCACCTGATTTCCCTGTTTCCCTGGTGCTCGTGTTCTCGATGTTTCTGCGCAGATACCCGCGATCCTGAAGGGCGATGAGAGCACCGGAGCGGTCGTGCTTCACGCGGGGGGCTAACGACACCAAGCTGCGGCAGACGGAGACACTGAAGAGGGACTTCAGGAGCCTGATAGAGACGGTAAGCAGCACATCGCCCGCGACGACGATCATCGTGTCAGGACCACTTCCCACGTATCGATGAGGACACGAAATAAAGGTGACTTGACTTAAATGTAAACGCAACACACATAAAATAATTTTTTTGTAAATATATACTTATACCCAATAAACTCAAATTATTTTTATAATAATAGTGCTTTTTGTTTACTTTGATTCTTGTTTAGTATGAAATAATTTTGCCTCTCATTTGACTTATCACGCTCAGGTCACCATGAACGCGCAGTAATAAAGATGAGGTATGGAGGATAAATGACACGTCCAAAAGGTGTAGCCTAGTGTCAGGGTGCCTCGGAAACAGGATATGGGGAAACCAAACATATATTATTTGTTTGTTTTTAATGCGTTTTAGTTTTCAAGCAATCACAATAAGTCTATATGGACAAAAGGGGACACCTGATCATTACACCAACACATGACATTGCATTCTAAATACATAGACATTGATATGGGGTTGGTCCCTACAACAGCTTCTAGTCTTCTGGGAAGGCTTTCCACAATTTTGGAGTGTTTCTGTAGAAATTTTTGCCCAGAGCATTTGTGAGGCCAGGCAATGCACTGATGTTTATGGCAATATATGTAATCGAAATAATGTTGAGGTTTAATATAAGTGAATAAATTACAATTTTTGAACTTGCAACCAAGTTGTGGTAACGGGTCCCCTGAATTATTTTTTTTAGAGTGCATCTCAATAATTGTCCAAATTACATGGCATATACTATTCATTATACTCAACCATCTATGTGAATTTTATACGTTTATTTTGTCAAAACTCTGACTTTTGTCAGTTAATTACCTATAATTGTTCTTGGAAACATTTGACTGTTCTTTTTAAAGTCCTTATGAAATCAAAATGTACACTGTTTACATTGTTAGCGCACATTGCTAGTCTTGAGGTGAGCAATTAATCCGTGCAACTAAATGCACTGAAAATTCCTTCTCTGATGACGTCATTTTTAATAGTAATCAATTTAAAGGCACTATACCATAAGGAAATAATCATCAATTTATAACAATTATATAACTAATTAATTTATGTATTATGGTGTTGAAAGCTCACAGATACAGTTAAATTTCACTTTACCATGCATCAAAATAATATTTTAAAAAGTACCTAATAATAGACTACGTCTTCAAACACCTACATACTTACCTGAGTTTACATAAAAACATAACACACCATTTCATTGAATTTCTTTATTTCTATGCTGCTTGTTCTTTCTGCAGTGTTACTGTTTCAGATTTACACCACCAGGTGTCAGTAGCCACGCTATACTTTACCTTTGAGAGCGAGAGAGAGATTGTTATTGTTCAACAGTTATTATTATTATTATTACTACTACTACCTAGTGCTTTCTAGTGTACTATCTACCGAAAAATGTGAAAGTACTAGTATTTAATGAGCAAGTAGGCCTATTAACAAGTTAGAAATAAAACAACTAGCAACATACTAGTAAGTTGTGAGGAAGAAATGTGAAAGTGGCTTTTATTTACATTTATTTACGGATGATTATTACTGTATTATTATTTTTGAAGTGATATGAAAATGTTTAAAATGTTAATGTTATAAAATGAATATCGTTTTAATGTCGATAGTGTAAAGTAAATGGCGTTTAATAAACCTGTAACCTGGTAAATAAATGTAAGAATATGCATACATATTTTATATTGAACATAAACCCCTAAAACTGAATCATACTATGGTAAAGACTTGGCTTATTAATATGAATACATTCGAAGTGACGTTACGTGGTAAGCTTCATGGTGAAGCCTTATTAATATTAATTACGTGATGCTACCGTTGCTCGGTAACCTCCAATGGCGCAGCTCTGGCTCATGAATATTAAGCAGGTCTTCAACATAGTAGAATAGGCGGGTTTGAGCGCTTGCGTGGACACCACATGAACACACAGACGCAATGGCGGGGATAAAGCTCAAGTTCAATGATTAATGTTAACGATTTTATATGTCAGCTCTTTAAGAAACAGACGCGAAGTGAAGTTTCACACTTGTCAAAACCGCACACAGGAGCTTGAAGTTCCGGATCGACTCGCGCGCTGCAAGTAAGCGTACATGCAGAATTTGATACACTATATTACTTTGTTACAAGCTGTATTGTTATCCAGATAATATGTGAGTGCATTTGGCTGCATTGTTTTAGGATTAGTGCGTTATGTGCACGGGGGTTTCTCTCTTTGCAGGTCACTATGGCATTGATAAGGATGTTGGCCAGATATGTGCACTTGAACCAAGGTTTAAAGTGTTTGGGAGCCAGTTCTCAGAGCAAGAGATTACAGCACACTGCAACCCATTCATCTTCATGCAACTATCAGCTGCTGCCTGACTGCCTGGGTGAGAGACTGTGGCTTTCAAAATTACTGAATATTTACCAAGGATGCCAAGGATCATTTTATATCTCAACCAAAGAATTATAGATAGATACAGTGATCAAACCAGGGTTATTCTAGTTAACTAAAACTGTAAAAACAAACTTAAACTTATTTTATTATTGCTAGTTAACAAGGCAACATTTCTTATTTTCATTTAGTTTAACATGATGTACTAAAATAACTATAACTGAAATAAAAATTAATAAAAAAATCTGCATAGACATTTAAAAACAATGAAAACTAATAAAAATGTCATAACAAAATAACTAAACCTTTAAATCAAATCTAATTCAAAATATAAAAAACGATTAAAGTATCTCAATGATACTAAAATAACACTAGATCTAACAAGTTTTGTTTTAGAAAAAAAAATATTATTATATTTTTCTTTATTTAATGGCTGATTAAATTATATTACTTATGATAGCAATGATAACATTACTCATGATACTCAAATATATTTGAATTTATATTTTGATTATTTTATTTTACACTATTTATTCAAAATTCACTAAAATGGTTGATTAATCAGCCTGGCTGCTATCACTACTATATCCACATTATTTACACTGATATATGTGCATCATTACAGAATTTATTGATGGACCTCATATATTAAATTATTACATGCCATAATAAACAGTAAGTTTAAGTGGTTATTAAGCAAGAGTTAATATTGCGTTAATATCGCGGAGTATAAGTGGTTAAAAAAAAAAGAATGATTTTAAACGAGTGTAATTAATTAATATATTTCTGCAGAGCTCAACTATGGTGGTCTTGTAATGCACTTTGACTACGTTTGGCTGCGAGATCACTGCCGCTCGGCTTCATGCTACAACTCAAAAACAAACCAGCGTAACCTGGACACTGCCAGCATTGATCTGAACATCAGGCCTTTAAAGAGCAGAGTGGATGAAAACAACCTCTTCCTGACATGTAAGTGCAGAACGAGGCTTAATCCAATTCAACTGTAAATCAGAAGCACTTCAGTTGAAGGGTACCACTAAATATGTGCCCGGGAAACTACCTTAAAGGGAGAGCTCACCAAATGAAATGAACATTCTGCCATTATTTACTCACATTCAAGGACCAAAAAGAACTGAAATCCACCATAAAAGTAGCTCATAGTCAACGTTTTGCTATTTTGTTTAGCTATTCCGTTATTTTGTCTCCCTTTTCTATTATTATAAAAGTAGCCCATGGCTCATGTGCATGGCTTTTTGTAGGGAACAGACCAACCAGGGTTTGAAATTAACACCTGCCAACCTGCCAAATGCGGGTAAAAGTCAACTGTGGCGGGTAACGTTGTCAAATCACTAGCCTATGTTGGCGGGTTACTTTTCTTCACTCTTTAAATTTTTGTGGAAGTTAATGTAAGCCAGCAGATTTAGCCCAATACTGAACTTGTGAGCCATCAAACTCCGTTACCGTGGAAACGGCTATAATCTGCCGCTCCAAAAGCGCCTCCTGGTGGCAGAGGATGAATTTGTTTGTTTCAGCTGTTTTTGTGCAGACCATTGCGAAAATCGACCCAGCAAACACACTGTAAATATGAACCGGTGGATCGACAAGAAGCTAATGCTAATGCATTTTAAACATCTAAACAATTAAGACATTAAGATATATTTATATGTTGTTAAATTAATATAATAATTGTTTAAATTAATGTAATAATAATTGATACTTCTGACTCATCTCTTTTCTTAAAAAATGGTTGAAATGTGTGCTGAAACCGTTTTGCTTGTGTGAAAACCTGTAACTGAACTGTATATATGGTATAAATTTTGTTTGTGCAGGTCTTAAAAAGGTCTTAAATTTGATTTTAAAAATCCTACAGACACCCTGGAATGATATGAAATTCAGATTTTATAATAAATATATTTAAATATGACGTAGTTGTGTAAAATATGAGCTGTGACGTAGTTCATTTGGTTTATATCCGTTTTATTTATTCATTTATTTATTTATTTTGGCTAGTAGAAGTTATGAATGGCCGGTAACTTAAAAATGTAGTAGCCAAATTGGCTGGTGAGTGAAAAAGTTAATTTCACACCCTAAGACCAACATTTTGTTATTATTCACTGATAATCTAAATCTTACGCCAATATTCTCACCAGGTCTTTACTGACAAATATGGATTAGTTCCAATTGTTGTTGTTGTCTTTTTTTGCAGCTTGACAGACTTGATCACTATGAGCTGCTGTTAAAAACAGTAAGGAAGATGTTTCAAATTAATGACAACAGCTGTGTCTCATTTTCAAAGGCCGCACCCTTCAGAGATTGTCGGCTGCATATGTAATCGAGGATGTCTCATTTTCCAAAAGTAACCATTATAAACTCGGCTGTTATTCCTTGTGTAATATTGTTGTTTCTTTGAAATGTAATGGCTACTTTTTTGCAATTAACATATGCAGCTGACAAATGCACAGCCTTTAAAATTAGATGCACCAGCCATTTTCATTTTTTTGGTGAGCTAACCCTTTTAGGATGAGATTGGCGTTCATGCGATTTTTAATTCTTTGTTTATCTGACTTGTCTGATTTGTTGGCACACCTTTATTAATTCCCTGTCCCTCATTTCCTGGTAAACATCCTTTCAAAATGGATTTGTACGGGAAACAAAACAAAATCATTAAACGTGTCACCAATACAAAATGTTCACTGTTTTCTGCAAGATTGCTTAATGTTGGGATTGGAAGATAATCCGACTTTAACTGTGTCTTCGTGTTTCTCTCCTCAGAGATTGTGGTCCTATTGTGCTAAGATAAGTTTAACACTCTTCCAAAACAAAGATGGATATCTCTTTCCTAAGTAAAGATAAGACTCTGTGAGAAAGACAGACAAACCTTTGACTCTTACGAAACTCAGCCGACAACATCTGTGAGATTCACTTTACAGACCGCATTACATTATTTTTACAGTTAGTTACATAGTAACAGCAGTCCTCACTTTCTCATGACTTTGTGTCTGTGTTACTTTGGCCCAGGATTGTGTCAGTCGACTGGTGAAAGATTTGGTGTGAAGCGGTGTTAACTGCTAAGTGCCCTGACGTTAGTTTTTTATCATCAGTTTCCCTTTTTTAAGTTGACATGAAATCAAAATGGGCCCAGTTTACTTTCTTAAAACATTTATATAATCTTAATATTACTGTGTGCACAATTCAGTTCCCATTATACCAAAGAAAAATTAGCACTGCACTCAGTACAGTAGCTCTTGCATTAAACATTTTTATCTTGTCAAATAATTTTTATGGTCACATTTTAGTTTGGGGACCAATTCTCACTATTAACTATGACTTTTGCCTCAATAAACTCCTAATGCTTATTAATAGTTAGTAAGGTAGTTGTTAGTTTAGGTATGGGGTGGATTAAATGATCTAGAATATGGTCATGCAGAATAAGGCATTAATATGTGCTTTATAAGTACTAATAAACAGCCAAAATGCTAGTAATATGTATGCTGATAAGTAACTAGTTACTAGTTAGTGAGAATTGGTCCCTACACTGTAAAAAAAACTCCGTAAAATATACGGTAAAAAACCGGCAGCTGTGGTTTCTGGAATTTTACTGTAAAAAAATACGGTAGCAACGTTTTAGGTTTTACGGTTTTAACTTAAATTTAGAGTTAAATACCGTAATTTCATTAACTGATATAATGTTAATATACCAACCTATTGAAGTACTGAAATCTGTTTTGTACCTTTGTAATACACTGATAACCACCTTTTACCGTTAAATTCACGGTCATTTTTTACAGTGTATACTAAAGTGTTAGCATTTTTATTTGTACAGCTCTTTTCACAATCCATATGGTTTAAAAGCAGCTTTTCAGAAAATCAAATTTCATTTTTAAAGCCCTGTTTGGACAGGACTAGTTTTCCCAGAGGACGTTAGAGAAATGTGTGTGCTTTGAGATTTTAATCCAGTCTGAATCTGTCAAGTCTGTGTTTTTCTCACCTAACCTCTGTAAAAATGGCACAGCAAATCACCTTCCCCTGATAAATTTAATCCCGTCCGAATGTGAACGTCTTCTCCTTGTGTTTTTAAAAGCTACTGTTTTTTTTTTGCACACACTAATCTAACCTTTCAATATGGACTTGAAAAAGTAATAAAATTAATTAAGGAGAATCAAATCACAGTGTTAAGACTGACCATTTTAATATCAGCATCAGGTAAGATACATTTCTAAATTTCTCTCGGGCTTTTATAATTATAATATATTTTATAATATATATTATTAGCTGCCACTTCTATAAACTAATGCAAAGTGTATTTAAATACATAGCATATGGTAAAAAATACTTATGGTAAATATTATCTGATATGAGGAATACAAGTTCATGGAATAAATAAAAAGATTCCATTTTCATTATGTTAGTAAGACAGTGTGTAAAAGGATAACAAATCATTTGTAAGGAAATTATTGTTTTGAAATATTGCTGTATTTTGCAGTCCTAAAGCTCTTGGAATCCATCTTAAAAGACCGGCATCAATTTAACTTTACATTTATGAGTCAGATTCAGTGGAAGTTAAACTTAACATTAAACCTTCTGTGAAAACTTGAAAAATGTATTTTTGGTGTTGTAAAGCTGTTTAAATAAGCATTTCGAGCTACTTTAGGGTTTCTTGTGTTACAGTGGCAGTGAAGTTGTAAAATTGGATGTAACTTTACACAGAAAAAGTTAGTAAGAAATTTTTTCACACATTTATGGTGTTGGCTACACTATTGAAACTGAGTACATTTTGCCCCCATTCACTTCTACTGTAAGTGCCTCACTGTAACCCAGAATTTTTTTTTTTGTAAATGGAAAAAGTACGAATTAATTTTTGTTGATTGAGCTCAACCCCAGAGACCCTGATGGACTCATCACTAAACTAGTAACATCCTCCACTGATAAAAACCAATGAAATTTTAACTCACTGATCATAGTTACCTCCTAATGAAGTAATTTCCACCTTGTCTGTGATCCCCTCCAGGGCCAGATGGTCACATGACGCGGTACAACCTAACATGGCTGGCCCAAAACAGCTATGAGGGCCAGAAGAGAAGTGCCATGCAACCTCGAATCCTGTGGAACGCAGATATCTACTCCAGCGCTAAGGTGCCTTCTGCCAGTTGGGACAAGTTCATGAGCTGCGACGAGGAGCTGAAGAACTTCCTCAGCAACTTCCTGCTTTATGGAATTGCCTTCGTCGAAGGCGCCCCACCAACCCTAGAAGCTACTGAAACAGCGACCCAAAGAGTGAGCCTCATCAGGTCAGGGCTAGTGTGTAGCGGCAATTAAATCCTGCAAACTTGTTTTGATAGATGATTTAATGGAATAGATCGTCTGTAATCATTTACTCATCTTCATGTCATCCAGCATTTTTTAACTTTTGTAAAAACCACAGACAACTAGGAATATAGTACACAAACGCATATGCTGGTTTTATTATGCTTTTTCATTACACCTGGAGCTAGACTAGTGCATTGTATGGAAGCAAGCATCTTGTAACGCGTCTGCGGTTGTAGAGAAGCACGATGAAGGAGATAGAAACTAGGACAGTTTTATTATAATCCACACAGGAAAACTTAAGAGATTGTTGGAGATAAACTTAGATAACAACCACGTTAGTCATTCACACAATACAATCCAAGTTACGGAAACATAGGGCTTCAATAACAGAGAAGACTTATGAGTAAGCTAATAGAACAACAGGTGAACGACATCAGTAATTAAGGGAACAAACTGTCACACACTAGGAAACTAGGTCAGGGAGCACATGACACAGGAACAGAACTTAACCAAACCAGAACACATTGAACACATCATACAGGTTTGGCATAACATGAGGTTGAGTAAATCACAATAGTGATTTCATTTTTGTGTGAACCAAAGTTTTTCAGAAAGCTGCTGCTTTAGTGCTGCTGCTACTTAAATGAATAAAAAGGAAAAAGTAATTGTTTCTCAAATTGGGTTGGTCGGCAGGTGCCTTTTGAAGTCAGGAACCCAGACACAGGAATTATTTTTACATTGCCAGCGACTAATGAGCTACCGCTGGATAATTAGTCAAGCAGTGTCCATTCTTTTCCTGTGTTGTTAGAGAAGATCTCTTTAAAGGGCACCTATTATGCTTTTTTGATTTGATCTTTTATTGTGTAATATTGCTGTATGTGCATGTAAATGACGTGCAATATACAAGATACAAAGCATAAAGTCCACGCCAAAGGGAGTTCATCTCTCCAGCAGAAAGCTACATGTTACATAACGGCATAATGCCTGCTAGTGTTGTCATGTTACCAAAGTTACAGTAATCAGTACCAATACCGGTACCAATTTCAGTACCATAGCAAAAACTATTGTCATTATTTTATTTTCATATTTTTTTATTTATTTGGAAATTAAATAAGTGTAATTTAATTATTAATGCTGTTAATAATTATAAGTAAATAATACATTAAAACATGTAGCCTTCAAAAAGGCTAAACTAAATTGCAAAACTTAATCCAAGCAATTTCAGATTCAGGCCTGCATTTCAATATGGTTATCATTCGTGAAACTTTGCAGTGTGTACGTAGCAGCTTGAAAATGATTCAATAATTCAAATTATGAATGTTATATACAGAAAGTGAGCAAAGAGCACTTCCTTTATAATCAGTGAAGCTGATATCAGTTCAGTTTAGCCGCGGCGCATGTTCACTGACTGAGTGAAGACTCCCGTTATAATCAAAAAATCTGTCTACTGCACATTGACTTATTTACGTTGTGTTTATACTTTGTTATATGGAAATGATGCTGAACAAACTCTGGCGTATTGAGTGGATTTTGACTTAAAAGCCTCTGATTGGCCATTGCAGTCACATGCATGACAGACATGTATGTGATTGGCTACAAAGCTCAACACTGCAAAAACTTTGTAAATAGAAACCTTGGATGCTCTTCATAGAGATCTCACACAAATATGTACAGGAGCATTTGAGGCTGGTATTGTTACATTTTCAAAATTTAAGTATTGTTTTGGTACCAATGTACTGGTATTTTTGACAGCTCTGATGCCTGTCCACTGGCTGTTTTGGCCTGCCCTCAAAAAACAGTTGGCTGAGTGATTTCACTATTTTGAGGAGATGCTGTTTTATTAAAAAAAAAACATATATGGACTTACAATAGCAATGCCAAAGTTACCAAAGATATAATACTGTTTACAGCTGCTCATGAAGCCTTAGTTATGGAAAGGGGCATTACATACATGCTCTAAGCAGTTGACCAATCAGAGCAGACTGGACTTTTTGGGAAGAGACAGCAACTAAAATAGCTGCAACTAAAAGAGTTTCAAGGCAGAGAGTGAAGAGAGGTTCTCCATCAATGTAAAATATGAGAATTTGTGTCTTTTGAACAAATTAAAATTCAGGACCACCAATCCTTTTCCGTTTTAGTGTTGCGTTTAGACAAATAGAAGATTGTTGCAGTTTGGGCTGCATGATAGTCAAGAAAAATGTGGAATGTGATAGGGCTGTCAAAATGACTGAAAAACTAAATTCGAATTTTCCATTTAAATATTATCAAAATTCGAATTATATTCGAATTTAAAAGGCATAATGTCAGTTAGGGGGGAAAAAAGCTTTTGGCTTCTCTCCTGAGGCCACAAAATACTATGCACGTTTCTTCAAAGCGTAACAAAATAACAACTTTTTGAAAAAAAGTGCATAATGTTTAAAATAATGTTTATAAACCATATATAATTAATAAAGTTGCTTAAACAATTAGAAAAAAAACAGCATGCATGTATGTATGTATAGTTTAATACAAAGGACCGAAAACCAGTCACAAAGAGTAGGCTACTTTCTTCATTTAAAAACATGAGATACAGTGGGATGGGGGAAACCGCCATAACGTCTTTAGACATGTTTTTTAAAAGTTGAACTAACATGAATTTTACATGGCTTTCTAAACATGCGGCTCTCTTGTGCGAGACGCGAGTGCAACGCTGATAGATGTCCCTCTAGAAAATGCGTGAAATATGCGTTCTGTGTGAACGGCT